ATGTTTACTACCTCAATTGAAAAATATATTAACAAGTTTTATTGAAATTTCAGAGGGATAAAAACCATTTCAGAGGGATGATATATATAAGTTGATTGCTAGTGTTTTACTTCAGATTTATAGCAGAGGAAATCTAAAGAAAGTACTGCATTTACAGCTTAAAATGGTGATCTTAAAATATTTAATGCTCAAATAATGATGGTATGGAACAGTACCATTGCATAGAGGTGGCATTTCATGTTTTAACAATTAAATGTATATGAAATACTACTGGACATTTTCTTACTTATCAAGAAGGCTGCAGCTAACAATTTTATTAATTTTGTCCTCAGGTAATGGTGAGATAGTTATTCTTGCTGCTTTGTAAGTTAAGTTCTTTACAACCTTCTAGAGTCAAATATAGTTTGAGATAAAATCAAACTTTTAGTTATTTTAACAAATAATTGTACAATTTCTCATCCTCCTATTCAGTCACAAACAAGATGTATAGTTTATCTGAAGTATTTTACATATTTCACTAGATGCTTTATTGCCACTCTCACAATAAAGGCTTTGGCTTTGAATGCTTCAAGGTGCTACCAATAAAGCTTTTTTTTTTTTTTCCCTGAATAAGTAGTTTGATTCAACAAGATTTCTAAATCAGAGATAATACAACTTCTTTTCTCCACCAAAATGCTTCAGAAATACTATCAAATATTTAGTACATGAATCAATTAAAAATAAATAAATAAATTTTAAAAATCAACAACCAGCAACTCAGCGGACCAGGAATCGGAAAATAACACTCTCTTCTTCCATATCAAACAGCGCTTCTGTGCTATCTCAGATTTAGCAAACAGTTGCCTAATTATTTACTGTCATGTGATAAGCAGACAGAATTTCAAGACACACAAATATCCTGCTTTCAACTGTTAAAGCAACAAGGTACTTGGCATTGCAAGGTCTTCAAGATTTCAGGCTACTTTGGCTGCAGAAAAGGATGAAAAGTAAAATTTCACTTTTCTACATTTAAAAAGGGCAGCTTTTATCTTCCTAAATCAACATCTTCATGATGCAGCATCATACAATCCCAAGCCTTCCAAGACAGGCAATGAATTTTGTACAGCTGACTCTGCTAGTTACAGTACTCAACAGCTGGGCCACAGATAATCTGGCACCCTGATAATGCCCTAGATGAGTCTGAAAGTGTTCTGCAGACTGTCAAAAGGGAAAAAGAAAAAAAGAAAAAAGAACTATCAGCATTAAACTTATAGATTGGACCTCATCTTATAAAGTCAAAATGATTTGCATTTGATGAAGAAAGTTACTAAAGGAGGTGTTAACAAAAATGAGAAATTAGGAGAAATGGCACTCCCTCTTCAAAGCCTATATTGTAGCAATTCTTTTCTGATTAGATCAGCTCCCATAGCAAGTCATCAGAACAACAATCGCTGTAGTGAAGTCATACTACTGGGACTCGAATGGGAAATCATGACTGGCTTGGAAACACATTTTAAAAAATAATGTGTTTTCCAGGTTTCCAATATATCTTAATTAAAACAAGTCCAAATCTTTACCTCTGCTCCAAATGGCTGAATAAAGTATACCTTGAGTAGCAAAACACAGCATATCAATATACTAAATACGACACTGAAAACTAAGACAACAGAAACAGATCTTTCCAAATAATTTCAGGATTTGGCTGTCCCGGAAAATAGCGTGTGAATGGACTCAATGTTACCTCCACAATATTATATACTCAAATACTTTCATAATGTGCTTATTTCTTACAGATATGCAAATTAGGTTTTGGAGTTTAATTAAAATCCTTTTGTTCCCCAACACGTGAAAACTGAATCTTTCAGCCCTTTTCCTGATAAAGCTCCCTTTGAAATCAGGGAAATGAGGCTTAATCTCTTTCCCAGGTTTTTAAGCAAGTAAGGTATGAACCTTACTAAACCTGATTCTAGCAAGAAATCAAAGGTAATCCAAAGCATAATAGCAGTGCTTGGGGTTAGAACCAGAACAGAAAAACAAAGTTTTCTCAGTGTTTATTTACAAAGTAAACAGTCCATTAGCTCTAAAATCTGCAAAAATCAGTTCAGCCACATATAAATTGATAACTTAAAAAATAGGGTTCTTTTGAAGCTGACGGTAATCAACAAATGGTAATTATTTCTCTCAACTAAAATGTACTAATGCATTTCAGTACAGAAACAGTGCACATGCTCCATAGCTGCATTGACACAACAGGCAACAGACACAAAGGAGTCATTAGTCAATACTGTTAATGACACATGAAATTGCAAGTGACATCGGTATAAAGTAGACTCAGACCTGGCAAGTTCTCATAGTCAAAATAACCATGTGTTACTTTGATTATTTTTCAAAATATTACCACTAGCAATCTGGAATAAATAAAATCAATTATCAGTATCTTCAAATCAAGCTGTCTTAAACTCTGCCACTCCCATTCCCATCAGTGGAAATCATTTAACAAAAATCTTCAGAACTGACTGGAAACATGCAGCTGAAAAAAATCAGATATGAAACCTAACCTATCTCATTCTCTGACATTAAAATAGGACTCAGCACTGCAAATATCAGCATATGCTGTGACATGCTGTAAAGACTATTTCAAGGATGAAGGTTCAATCTAAACAGTTAACTCCATCCCTTTTGCACTTGGATTAAAATCAGTCCTGTAACACTTTTGATAAGCTTTTTCAGATTTAATACTAGCAAATGTATTGAAAAACAGTAATGAATCATCCAAACCACTACTTCCATTCTGATGCATTTAATAAATCAATGTAATTTACATTTCTAGCAAGATGAATTCATCTGTGTGTATCACTGACACAATAAACGGGGTTTTTTCCTTATTTTTCTGTATTTGATGAGAAAACTCAGGTGCTACAGGAACTAAGGTCATTCTTTCCCCGACCACCAAAAAAAAAGTAAATAAATAAATAAAAAGATAAAAATAAACCGAAGCTTTAAATACGACTGCACATCGAGACGCAAACCCCTATGCCCGCACTGCACTTGAAAAACAGACTTTTAAACGCACGAGAGAGCGTGTCACCGACTAGTGAGGTGACACGGTATTTCGATTTATCGCAGAAGCCGCCCACGTCCGCCGCCCCCCCAGATCAACCCAACGCGGGGCCACCAATGTCCCCTCCCGGCCGCCAGCGCCGGAGCCTCCTGGGTCCGCAGCCGCCACACCCGGCACCCGGGCGGCTGCGGTGGCACGGGGAGCGCTGCCCTACCTTTGTATCTCTCCAAGACATCTTCGTAGGCTTGCAGGTACTCCTGCTCCTCGGCGTAGAAGTACGCGCCGGGGGAGAGGTAGCCAGCCATGGCCGGCAGCTAGCCCAGCCCAGCCCAGCCCTGCCGCCCGCCTGTGCGGCTCCGGACGGCCCGGTAGCCCCAGGGACGGCACAAGAAAAACCCCGGCGGCAGCGAGAGGGAGGCGGGCGGGGGGCGGCGCTGCCAGCCCGGCCGAGGAAACGCCCCCCGGCCGCTCCGGTTTCGGTGGCCGCCCCTCTCTGCGCTCCGAGAGGCGGCCTCAGCCGCAGACCTCGGCTCCAGCCCCATCGCCGAGGCACCGCCTTCGGGGCCAGCGAGCTATCGCCACCTCCCACCCGCCCCCCGTGCTTTTGCCCCGGCGTTCCGCAGGACGAGAAGGGCGGCGGCCGCCGGAGCGCGGGCGCTGCCCCCGCGGCACTGAGGGGGCCGGCGGGGACGCTGTCACCCTGTGGCGCTGGCACTGAGGGGCCGCAGCGCGACGGACAGGGACCGAGCAGGAGCCCCGGCGCCTGCAACCAAGCTGGGCGGGAGCCCTCGCTATCCCGGTCGGGGACCCGGCCGGGCCGCAGGTGCCACCGCCGCTCCCCCGCCCCCGGCCGCGCCCCCGCCGCCCCCCGGTCCTGACCCCGCCCCGGAGCGGTCCCTGCTGCCCTGGGCCCGGCCCGCCGGGTCCCCCGCCCTGCGCACCCTGCCCGCTGGGCTGGGCTGGGCTGGGCTGGGCTGGACCGGCTCCGCAGCTCTCCCCCACACACTCACTCGTGGCTGCATCCTGCGGCTGGGGGGAGCCTGGCTGCGCAGCGCGCCCGCTGCCCCCGCTAACAGCGCCGCTAAGATGGGTTACCCTGGGAAATGGTGTCCCGAGAAGGGACCCACGGAGGCGCACACAAAAGGGGGGTGGCTGGGGGGAACAACAGCGGTGTTCCCGGGATGCACCGGCGTCCGCCGCATCTTTCTGGGATTCATTTACAGGCATTTTCCAGCTCTCGCCGGGGAGAAGCGGACCTCCGCCCTATTTTCGACAACATTTGTCGCCGGGCCGTGGACCAGCGCCCGCCGGCGTCTCCGGCACACCGGGCGGCTCCGTCCTGGTCCCGGTCTCCCCCGGGCGCAGCCCTGGCCCCGAGCGGACAAAGACCGGCGCCTGGTCCCCCGCCCGCCAGAAGCATCATCGGCCGCCGCCGGCGCGGCCTCTCCGCCCTGCGGGCGGACCAGCGCCGCTTCTCCCCAGGGCGGCCCGGTGATCCCTCGGCATTGCGGGCCGGAGGAAGCACCGGCACCAGCTGAGCCGACCCCCGCCGCGGTTGCAGCCCCCGGCCACTGATGTGTTTTCGCATGAAAGTTTAATGGGAGCACCTGCGCGTGTTTCGGCTCGCCTTCCACACGCATCAGTTCACCCAGCCGGAAAACGCGGCCAAAGAGCTTAGTCACCGCCCGGCGGGGCCGCGCTCTAAAAGGAAAGGGACGGGGGTCCCTCTGCCCCCCGGCCGCCCCCTGCCCGTCCACCCCCGGCCGCGCCTTACCGGCGATGCGCAGCACGGCCCGCTCGGCGGGGTCCAGCACGGAGCCGCCCTGGATCTTCCGCTTGGACCGCTCGTGTTTGGGCAGGTTCCAGGGCAGCGTGTCCCCCGGCGCCGGCGACACCGTCCCCGACCTCTGGCTGAAGTCCTCCTCATCGGAGAAATCGGCGGAGGACGACATGGAGCATCGGTAGGACGCGTTGCCGGAGCTCTGGACGGGGAGACAGACAGACAGGGTGCGTGGGGAGCGGCTCGGGACCGGGGCCTCAGGTGGCGAACACCCGCCCCGCGTGGCGTGGAAAAGCATCTCATGGGAAAAGGAGGATAGGGGAGAGGTATGCTGCTCACCATTGCCGTGAATTTAGGGGGGGAAAAGGGGTGCGTGTGCGCAGTGCCGAGGGAGATCCTCCAAAAAATATCCGGTCTTTAGCGGGAGTGCATTTGGAGGGATGTCTGGGGAGAGCCGTGGCCTGCGGCTGGGCAACCAGCTCGCAAATGAGCCTCCCACTTCCCCAACAATAAACCCAGCAGCAACAACAGCCGAAAAAAAAAAATCCAACAACCTTCCCGGCTACAGATCGATGGCGTTTGGCTCCCCCGCCAGGACAAGGGGAAGATTTGCCATCACCGAGTTGCTGGTGAAATCGCTGATGTAAATCCGCCCCAGGGGCAGCCCCAAGCCGGGCTCTTTGTTACCGGCCCGGGCCCCGCAGGGCCCCTCCAGCCCCGCGTCGCCGGGGGCAGCCCAGCTAGCGGGGACAAGGGCAAAGAGAGAAGGAAGGAAGGAATACAGTTTCTCAGAGCAGCCCCTTTGGGTAGCAGGGCACAATGGGGGGCCTTCGGTTACACTTGCAAAGGTGGCTTCGGCTAACAAACGAGTGATCTCGGCGTGTAGATTGTATCCACCTTCAGGCTTCCCAGCTACCCATAAAAAGAGCTCTTCCAGAAACCTAAATAAACACTGATGCAGTGCAAGGAGAGGGCTGCTGCCATTTCTGGCTTCCCTGTTTACGGTGAAGTGGAAAACAGATGTCTGAAATACAACATTTCAACACCATATTGAAATTTAGGGTGCATTATTATACACAAGCTTATCAGGACACAATGGAGGGCAAGGTGCTATTTCTCTTCTGCTGCATTTTCTGATTGGAGAGACTTGTGGTTTCTACAGGGCATCTGACAAGAAAACTACAGAGTTGATTTATGATTCCTGTGGGATCTACTGTGACAGTCTTTAAAAAGTGCAACCTGATGCTGGTCCAATTATCATGTTCATTTTTTTTGGTCTATGCTCTTCTCAACTTGGAGAGGTGTAGTAAAATCACAGAATCACAGAATAGTTTGAGTTGGAAAGGACCTTTAAAAACCATCTAATTACAACCTCCCTGCCATAGGCAGGACACCTTCCATTAGACCAAGTTACTCAAAGCTCCATCCAACCTGGCCTTGAGCACTTCCACAGCTTTTCTGGGCAACCTGTTCCAGTGCCTCACTGATTTCATAGTGAAGAATTAATTCCTTATATCTAAATCTACCCACTTTCAGTTTAAAGCCAGCATATTTTGTTATGCATAGACAGCCTCATTCAGCCATTCTAAATTCCAAATTTTTTGATACTAAGACAGCTAATATTTTAGACTTGTCCTGTAGTATTTTTTTTAATTAGTTATTTACGAGCTTAAATGGTACCTTTATGTACAGAAGAAATTTGAATGGTGACTGATATTTGATAAAATTTATTGTTGCTGTCTGAACCTTTTTATTGTCAGTTATCGTAGGGGGTATTTTACCCATTTTAAGACTCAGAACCTGCATAATGCAGAGGAATAACGTGATGAACTCTGTGCTATGCATAGGGGTGCCAATTATACACAGTTAAATAGACTGCTATAGTAAGAGGGTATCTCTTATTAGTAGTTTTCCTTTCTTCACTTCTATCCCAATCCTCTTTTCTCCTTCTGCAATACTTCTCAGTGAAGTTCTGAAGGGGAGAGTTGAGAGGGAGGGAATGAATACCAGAAAAAAACAGTTAACTGAATTCTTGTTTACTGTATTGTGCTATGGAGAGAGCAAGAGGTAACTGCAGAGAAACAGAAACATGAGGTGTCTGATACCACCTCTGATTGCCTTCATAATTAGTTTAACTGCAGAGACTATTTTTCTGTCAATTTGTATAATAAGTTAAAACTGTAGGATCCCATAAAGCATGACAGTCACTTATAGGTGTCTTCCTGATGGAAGATGGAAGTGTTTAGCTTGCTGTAAGGTATAAAGGGCACTTTGCTGTACCAGGTGTGGCCACCAGGGCCTCTGATGTGCTTAGTCAGAGATTAGGTTCCTTGTGGCCTGTCCTTAGCTCCAGATTTTCCCTAGAAAAGAAAGTGTTGCCTTTAATCCCAGCTCTGAACATCCCGCTTCAGGCTTGCACCTTCTTTTGGCTGCTCAGCAACCCTCAATATCTTTGGATTACAGAGACCCATGGAGACAGATTTTTGCCTTTCAACTTCTTCACCTTCTTAATTTCTACCTTATAATATGAGAATTGAAAAGAGTCCAGACAAGGTGTTGTGAGGATGCTATAGCAATAGTTTGTTAGTATTTATGTAGCAGCTTGGAATATGCAAGGATGAAGTATAATAGCAGTTCTTATTGAAGCTTTCAGAAAAGATCTTTCAACTCACAGATTTATCTTTGAAAGTAAGCTGTAAATTTTATCCAGTAGGATTTTTTTTCTCAAAAGGGGCCTTCATAGCCCATTCTTACTTATAATAACACCTCCTTATACTCTTAGAAACCAAAAGCACTGTTGAGTGGTTGTTCCATATGCACCATTGCTCTACCGAGATGTCTCTTTTAGGGAAAAGGAGTCCGTCCTTCTAGTCAGCTCTGCTCCAATACTGGAAGATAAGCTGTGTGAGAAGACCCCACTCACACAGTTATGAGCATTCAAACTGAAGAGGCAATGGTAGAGCAGTCTTTGGCATCTATGTGTATTACAACTAGCTTTTACGTTGTCCTACCTTACTTAATGCATGAATAAACAAAATGAATGAATAAACCCCACTTTAGCTTCTAACTCTTCAAGAATCATTTTGTTTACTTTTCAGAACAAAGTAGGAAGCTCAGAAAGGAGTTTTTCATAACATCAAAATCTAGCAAACTCATATCTAAGAAATGTTAACTTCTAACTTAATTGGTTTACTTTCTTATTCAGTGTGGAGGTACCTCTGAGTAATGTGTACACAGAGCTATTGAGCACGTAAGCATTTTTAAAAATATCTATTCTAAAGATGTTTATAATGAGCTAAACAACTTTGCTTGAGTACATTAACAGCTTTGTTAAGAAGTCTGTAGTTGCTCCCCTTTTGTTGTTCACAACAGGTGTACCACTCATCCCACTAGATTGTTTCTAACAGACATATTTTTCATGATGTAGCTGTAAGTCCCAAATAAGGATTCAATTATTACAGCAACATATTAAGCAGTTTAAAAACAGGAAATGAAGCAGAACATCTGTTCTGAAAAGGGTCCCTGGCCAATTAGGTCAGCATGTGGGGAAAAAAAAGGTTATGTTCTGTTAAAATATGTAAGGCACTTCTGTTATTTCTGCATAAAGCACATTGCTGTATGCAAGTGAAAAATGTGACTGTTAATAACACACAATTTTGGGGGGCTATGTGAGTCAAGTGTCTTTTATATCTGCTAAAATATTGATCCTCCTTATTTAGCCTACTCTGGGACTTAGCAAGGGTCAGGGCTTGACCATTCTTAGCTTCAAGGCCCGTAAGGTCACAGCCCAGATGCTCTAGCTGCTTATTCTGCGCCTCTGATTATGCATTCTTCCTGCTCATTAGCCTGGGGGCCTCTCGGCAGCCTCTCTGGCTGATGCTCAGGAGCGGCTGCCTTTGCAGTGCGGTTGTGCATCCGGCAGCGGGGGCGCGGGATCCCCGTGGTCTCACAGGAGCAGCCCTGAGCGGAGTTCGGCAGCATCCAAAGCCCGGGATGGTCCGTGATGCACCGTTCGCTCCCGGTGCCGCGGGGGGGTGCACAGCGCACACGGAGTCCCCGCCGCCTCCCGGGAGGCAGAGCTCCACAGAACAGACGTGCGGAGCCAAACCCCCTTCTGCCGGTGCCTGCTGGCTTCTCTGTAATCAGGTGATTTGCAGCAGCCGCCTGAGAGTCAGCCTTGCTGCTGTGCTATAAAAGCGAGTTGGTTTCCAGTAACAGGGATGATTTCAAAGAAGTATTTAGCACACTTCTTGTAAGAGGGATTTGGCCAAGTACCAAGGCATGCTTTCCCTTGAGGAGGGAAAGGAGTGCTGTTTGTCATAGGTGAGGCACTGCAGAAGATCAGGTGGAAGCTAGCTGGAAGATGGTGGAGCTGGGAAATGGTATACAGTAATGCACACCACCAGAGATCAGGTAAGCCACCTGTGAATAGGACCTGATAGGGTCAAGAACACTGGTGGCCTGTGCACTGTCATTGCTCAGGGCAGAAGCATTAGCCGAGATCAGGTTTTAAATTCAGTCAGGCAATCCAGCTGGGAAAAGCTGCAGCGAGGCTGATACCAAATTATTGTCATATTGCAAAAATTCCCCAACCCTATGACACGTTGGATATTGTGCTGGCCAACTGAATTCTAATCAAATAGCTTGTACTTTGACATTTTATGTTAAGATGATTTTCCACTGCAGTGAATCAATCCTTTCACACTGGCTTTTGGAAGCTGGGGGAAGTACAGGTCAACAGTGACTGAAATTTAATTTTCAGTTTAGTTATGAGTTATTTATATTTTGTTTATACTACACTATCTCAGAATTCCTGGAATACATTTTCTTTTCTATCATTATGTTCATTGTGGGAAAATGGATAAATATGAGCAGAAATTAGGCATTTGAATAATGATTTTACTGAGTGTGCTTCAGTAAAAATTCCTTCTAATTTAGAATAATCAATTGAAAGTAACAGGCTATTTTTGTCCTTTAACAGATTAAATTATATTAAAGTGGATCAACTTTTAAAGTAAAATAACTTTACAAATTTAAGACAAAATCTAGGGCAACTGAATGTTCCCATTAGTAAATCTTTACCACTTTAACCTGATTAGATGATAATGCAATGCAGAATACAAAACATTGAGTGTATGTAATCAGGCTATGTGACTGCATGTTATCAGAAATTATCAAAATTCAAACTGGACACAAATGGTAGTACAAACAAGGGCAATGTAAACCCAACTATGATAAGCTTAAAAAAAATTAGCCAGTGGAGACACAGACATATTAAATTAATATTTTCCTCTGGTTCTGTGCCAGTCATTTAAGGGGACATCCA